GGGTGGGGGACAGGCAGACACTGGGGATTGAGAACCTAGAGCCAGCTGTGTACTGGGGGGAGGGGGCAGGAACCAGCTGTGCAGGGGGGTGAGCGGGGGAGAGGCGCTGTGGACACTGCCCAGAGCAGGTGCAGGCGCCGTCTCTCTGCAGCATGACGAGGGAGCCTGGCGCCCCAGTGCCCTGCCTGCCCAGGGGAAGCTCTGGGGTGGTTTTGCTGAGCCCAGGCCTGTGTGAGAAGGGGAGAAGTTGGCGGCGAGTCTCATACAGCAGCCAGCCCCCAGCCTGTGCCTTGCGGAGGGGTCAGGTGTCTCCAGCAGACAAGTCAGACAAAGGCAATTTCAAGATGGCAATGGAGGCCCTGAAGGGCTTCCCTGAGGTCACAGATAATTGAACATTTCCTGGATCCCAGTCCAGTGCTTTTAGCACAGACCTTCTTTCTCCTCTCAGCCAAACTGGATCCAAACTAACTCCCAAAGCCAAACTCCAGCCTAGACCCTCCCTGCCCAGCCCATCTCTAATTAACAGATCAGGTGCCGGGAGTGGCCATGTGCCATCCCCCCACTGAGGCGTGTGTTGAAGGAGCCTCTCTGGTAGCAGTCACCGCCAGGAACTAGCTCCAGAACAGGGGTCTCTGGGCCCAGCTTTCAGACGTCTCTGTGGACAGTGTTTCTGAATGTGCAGTGGCTGGTAAATGCTCTGGTTTGGTGTTCGGGAGGGAGATTTCAACACGGTCAGGGAATTCCCTTCCCAAAGAGCAGCTCTGCCAGGGCCCCTCTCTCCACCCTTCAATACCCCAGCAGCGTTAGCCTGGGTTCTTCAGCTCATGTCAATCAAAGTCTGGATTACATGAGGCTTCACGAGAGAACACGGGTCACCAGCCGCTTCGCTGTGAGAAGTAAAATTAATGGTGGGAAAAAACAGTTCAGTCTGCAGAGAGATGGAAGCAGGAAATGTCACTAACACAATCCACTTCCTTCTGCAATGGGGGAAGGTCCGATCTTGAATGATAAACTTCTCGCTATCTCTTTGGACAACGGAGAGCTGGCAAAGGCTGCGGTGTGGGAAGGTCGCCCCTCTGACAACAAAATGGCTCCGTCGACTCCTGTGTCTGGATTTTCTGTTCCATGCCTGGTGCTGCTGCTTCTCCTGGAAATCCCTGGTGAGTGTAGAACATAGACACTGCCCACGCGGGCACAAGCCGTCTAGTCTGCTTTCTTGCTGCTTGCAACGGAGGGAAATTCCAGCTGCTCTAAAGGGAGGAATAAACCTTTGTGTATTTTATATCCCAGAGGAAACCTTCCTGATCCCAGCTTGTAATCAGCTTGTGCTCTGGAGTGTGAGAACCGGTCACAGTGTTTAAACTTGATCCCAGGTAGTGTCACTGCAGGGGCTGTTATTATTTTTATAAACATCTGATCTTTTTGTAGAAATCTTACTGAGCAATTAGATTCAACAATATCCTGCAGCAGTGAATTCCACAGGTTAGTTAGATCTGGGTTAAAATATTTCTTTTTATCCCTTTAAATCATGTTGCTTTCAGACTTCATTGGGTGCCATGTCTGTGTGGTGCCATCAAGGGGCAAAATAACCCTCCGTTCATTGGCAGTAAGTGACACACCCAGAAGCTCCTTCTCTGTGGCTGGAGCAGCGCAGCAGCTGGACTCAGGGCCCTTGTCCCTGCTCGTGCCCATGAGGTTCT